GGTTTAGGGTTTCGGGTTTTAGGGCTGGGGGACCCTAGTACATCCTGAGAAAGCCCAAGGAAACCTCCAAAAATCTGAAATCCCAAAGCCTCCAACCCAGAAGCCTGGATCTACTCAACCCCAAAGAGGATTCGCAACACTCCTGCCGACCCCAAGAACAAGAAACCAGCCATATTGAACATACCAGTAGCGAGAACAATCGTTGTCGTTACTCAGAAGCTTGTTCCTCATGAAAGTAGTGTTTGCATGGTTAATCGAAACACTGGAAATACGATGGAAATCACCGTCTCATGCGGTCTGCAGACCTTCAGCCCTGAATCCTGTAATTCTGCAGGACGTTGGGTCGAGGGCAGAAAGCCAGCTCTTGTGAGCCGGTAGTATCCATATGTTGTGCTTCAGGAGCTCTCTCTTGCGATAGTTTCACTCACCCGACTCAAGACCACATGCCTCGCCTGAATTGTCCAAGTGTGAGCCCCACCCACCCTGCCAACCCCAAACCAGGCTCCAAGAAGAACTTTCGGTGAACACTTTCACTCAGAACTTCTGGGCACAGAAACCCTCAACTCTTTCTATGTCTTTCTAGAGAGCCGAAAAGAACAGAACCCTAAACCCTGCTAAGACTGCGGAGCTTTGAGGACTGCCATGCTGCTGTCAGTGGCCCTTGGCGCCTTGTGAAAGGTTCGACGGGGACCGTTTTAAGGGGTTAGGGTTTAGGGTTTGGGTTTAGGGCATTTTGCGGCGTCCATTTAGGGATGTCGGGTTTTCTGGTTTTGGGATCTTTTTTGGGTGTGGAGGATGTTTAGTGGTGTAGGCTTTTGTTTTTGTCAGCTGTTTGGAAGGGTTTAGGTCTTTAAGGGTTTAGGGTTTGGGACACGGTGTTTATGTGAGGTGCTTGAGCCCCAATGGTAGATCATGACTTTCATTCGTTTGCAGCAGGGATTGTCGACACCCAGTGGTCTTTTCAAGAAAGCCGTATGGTACGGCTGCTTCATCGGCAACTGGTTCGTGCAAGGGGGTCCTTCAGCTTCATCTTCGGCTCGGAGCCATTCGAAGGCTTGGCGTGAGTTGGCTTGAGACTCCTCGGTGTGCAATGTTGATCTGGCCAAAACCAACTGCTGCCGGAACCCGCTCCCTAAACCACAACGACCAAAACGGAGCAGCCTCGTTTGTCTTCGGATCTGTCTCATGTGGGATTACATAGCGAGCTGTTCGGGGTATTTCTGAAGGGTGGGACTGATGTTACGGCAGGCAACTGGGCTGAAGAAGTCCCCAGCACGCTTTCCACGTCTCCTGTTTCTTCCCGTGGCGAGGGAAGCAACAAGACTTCGGCTATGGGTCCATGCAGGCCGGTGAGGGAGCTGGGGCTTGTTACTAGGCCCAAATAAGTTGACTAAACATAGACGTGTCGAAAGGGTGGCCACCGACACCTCATCGATGTGCTGGTAGGCCATCACCCACCGTGCGGCCCTGAATACTGCTCCGGGTCTTGATCTTTCGGACCGTTCGCCACAAGTCCGCTTCAGAGCTTCGGGTTGGGCCACAAACCTATCTGGAAAGGATTTCTGTCTTCAGCTCTAATCCCGAGACCACCTGTCCGGTTTCGGGCTTAGTCGCCTGGCATGGGCTTCAGGAAAGAATAAGGTACGCTGCTTCTCAGGAAAGCTACCAAATGAATTCACGAATATAGGGGCCTGACCTTTTATCAATGCTATTCCTTGGATTGCCTTAGTACAAGCATATATATATGTATATATTTTTTTTTTAAAAAAAAAGAGTACACCCCGACTATTGAGGCCCCTAAATTGGCCATCCAGCGGGCTTTTGGCAGGCCGGGAGTCCCCCCAACGTTGAAGGCTGTTTGTTGGATTCTTGCTCCGATTTTTAAGTGCATATACCAGACTAGTAAGGGAGCCGGAAAATCTACTACCTGTCCCAACGGCGCTCCCTTGTTATCTCCTGCTTATCCCGATCACGAAAACTTATAACATGAGTCGAAACCCTAGAGTCCTCAAAAGTGTGAGTGCTGAAACCACTAGCCCCATTGAGCACGAGCCCTAAACCCAAAGCCCCCAACTCAACAAGACTAAAGTGATGCAGGCTTCACAGATTCAAGAGAACTTCTTCCAGGATGCCTACGGCGCTCATGACCACGCTCGTGATGAATCCTACTAATCAGCTCGAGGGTTTAGGGGGATCCTTTCGTTTGCATCTGAGCCTGCAGTTTGTTGGTGAAAGAGTTAATTTGGGTTTAGGTCCGTTGGAAGACTGGCCATGGGTTCGCCTCTCAAATCTACAGCCCGGCTGGAAGTTGTTTTGCAGGGTTTAAGGGCTTGGGGTGTACGGCAGTATACTGGTAAATGTGGATCATTGAGGATAGGCGGATCACTGCTGGCGATTAGGCATCATCCTTTCAATGCAAATCAGCGTTATGCAGGACGTGACTGTTTGGGGACCGGATACCACGAGCAAGGTTGAATTGGCGGCAGCTGCTCGACAGTACAGCCTATGCACCCACTGCCAGGGAGCGTATGTAGCCAGTATTACACTGCTAGAAATCGTATATGCCCACGACTGTTTTCAACTGTGGGAGCGGGATCAGGTATGTGATGCCCCTACACCCCCCAGGCTCCGTTCACGGCGCGCATTGTGGACTAAAGTCGCACCAGCCCTGTCCGCCTGGATGCTTTAGTAGCAAGGCTATTCGCCATTCCGGGGCTTGGTGTAGTCAGCGTAGTTTCGATATCCGTTTTATCTTTTCCAGTTCTCTACTCTTGTGCCTTGTGTACTTGTCAGGGGCTCTGCCAAGGGATGCCGGGCAAGTCAGTCCTGGGCTGGCCGGTCCTGCGTTCGCCCTCAATTCAACCAATCGGATCTTCATCGATGCTGTGGTTGTGGCTCGTGCATATCCCTCCATCCGACACCTTCAATCCAGGAGCACGAAGCTCAACCCTAGAACCTTATCCGTCTACGCCGCGAGTCCTGAGAAGCAGAAAATGTACTCTTTTCTTCAACCATATTGTAGTAATTCGCTATTACTACGAGATCAATACCATATCATACTGTACTATACGGTACTGTAATATTAATACGCACTCTATATAAAGGATACATACACACACGTACATATATACATAATATGTATATATATATATGTATGTATATATATATACACACATAA